TCAATTCCCAAAATAAGAAGCCTGTCGGAGGGGAAATAAGCAGTGCGACTGAGAGGGGAAACATCATGAGTTACACTTGTCACTCTGAGTTTGAAGCTCCTGCGGGACTTGTCAGTGGACACACTGGGTAAGCAAATGAGTGTGTGCAGATTGAAAACATAAAATGGATTTAGGCTGCAAGCAGAGAGTTGAGAGCCAGCAGCATCTAAATAACAAGGACACCATGGAAAGAAGCTGTGCCCAACCATAGAGGAGCTAAGTACAAGAGAGAGCTCTGGATGAGGGAATCTGAGCGGGCAACCAGGGAAAAGCAACCCAAGAGCAAAAAAGGATCAAACGAAGTGGCCAAGACAGGAGACTGTGAGGTATAATTCAGTCATTCAAAAATTCTTGCCATTTCCCAAAAAAATCAGATCATTTCTTACATTTTCTCACAAATTCTTCTTTCTGACAGGTCACCTGCCCTCCACCCTGTGTGTCAGTCACTTTTGTAGTCATTGAGACACAATTCTCAACACCAGCAATTTAAAGGACAGGTTTGCTTTGACTTATACTAAGCAGGAAGGAACAGCAGAAAGTCTAGGAGAGGAAAGATGCTCACCTTTGTGGTGGACACTGCTGTGCACAGGAAGCAGAGAAAGGAAGAGCCACGCAGGAGACCACACCCTCCCAGGCTACGCCTTCAGTAGTTTGCCTGTTCTGAGTAGGCCCCATTCCCTAGCAACACACTGTAAACTACATATAGTTTAACACTATAGCTATAAACTCTTCAGCAAACTAATCCACCAGTGAGTATAGTGCCCCATGATTCAGTGACTTCCAAAAATCCAAACTCTGCATGCATGAGGCTTTGGGGTAATATCTAGCCATACACCGTAACAACATGTGCCTCCCAGAACAGGTATGGCCTTTGCTCCCTTTGGCTCTTCTATGCCCACTGCATAAATCTATCCTGATGACTGTAATTGCAGCCAGGACCTCGACTCTTAGAAATCTCCAGTTTTTATATGAATATGGTAATTGTAGAAATAGCCACAAATGTCCTCGACTCCTGATTTACACCATTTTGCAAGATGACTTTGCTACCTGATTTATCAAAATGTTCTTGCAAGTCTTAAATCAAATTTTTAACTTTTAGTTGGATTAAGCAATTACAACACTACAAAACTAATGCAAATAAGGCTTGAAAAGCATTCATCCCTGGATACATTAGAGAACTGATCACTTCCTGAACGAGCATGATTTAGCTAGAGAAAAGAAGGCCACATGGCAGAGAAAGATCTCTCAATATTGTGCAATTGCCTATGTGTGCAAGAAACCAGTCTAAACCAAAGGGTCTGATTTCTTATCTACCAGAACCAAGCCACCCATGAAGCAATTTTAAAAAATAATAACTCTATTGTTTTAAGCCACCAAGTTCTGCAGTGGTTTTTTGCATAACAAAAATTAACAGAGAGTAAATAAGAAACCACATGAAACTTCATCATTTTGTCAAATTGTGCTTAAAACTCAGAGCAAGGAGCCAGTAATAGCAAACATTGTTTCCCTCAATGTTACATTATTAGAGATCAGATTCTTTGATGTCATTTACCCTATACTTCAAAAAGGTGAGTATCTTTTTAACGATAGTTTTCAAAAGCAATGAGGCAGATTCCAAATAGATTCAGAAACTGAAGAAAGATAGAAAAGGTCATTGCTGAGCATACAACAGACTAAGCCAGAGATTTAACATGGGAGTAGCATTGAGGACTGAGAGTTCATGAGAACAAAATGCCCAGGGCTGGACTAGACATCAGAAGAAGGGGTAACTCAGAGGACCAATCAAATTTAGCAACTGGGAGCCATCGCCAGAAGTGGAATCACAGATTTCAGTGCAAATTAAATTTATTTTTTAATACTAACAAAAACTGTCCGCTTTGTTTCAAACATTCAAAGATGTGCTACAGTTTTTACCTCATTGGTAAAATATAATTATATAATAATAAATAATCAGTAAAATTATTATCACTGAGATTCCAAGATGTTTCTGAATTTTAAAAGTAATTTATTTTGGAGATCATCATTAGACTAACTCAAACTTGGTTAAAAGCAATAAGTACCAAGAACGCTATTCTTCAGAGTTGCTCGTCTGCCAAACCAAAAAGAGGAAAAATTTACTCTCAATTCTTCAATGGATCTTCACTCTGAAATGCGGTTAACCTTACACGAACCACAGCTCCCAACGGTATTCTCGAACAACTGTACTTCTTCTTAAGAATCTGAAAGCAAAATTTGTCCTGAAATACTTCTACTTGTTTATGCCCAAGAGTTCAATGATATTTTTTGAGTGAAAACACGTTAGAATTTCACATGAGTTTAGAAGTGCTTTTGTCTTGGAGAAAAAGGTACGTTGGCTTTTGTGTTAGAGAAGGAAAAAGTGAAATGATGAGAAATATTCAGTCTAATGAAAATTAACCACTTGAGTATGAAAACTTTCTATCTATTTTATGTATCATAAAGACTTAAAACCTTTGGGAGAAGACATGCCATAAACAATTGATTAATAAACACGTTGCTGATGAACTGAGGTAGACAATACTGGTTTCTTTCTTCTCTCTTAAAAATAATTAACTCTGCTGAATGTGAAGGTGCTCACCTGTAATTCGAGCCCACTTAGAAGTTGAGACAGGAAGATTGCAAACTTGAGCCCAACCTGGGCAAGTTAACAACTTAGCAAGACCTTATCTCTGAATTAAAAACAAAAAAAGGGGGGCTGAGGGTATAGCTTTGTATGAAGGCCTTAGGTTCAATTCCCTAGGACAAAAAGTTTAACCCAGTATAACCAAGATTACTTATCAAATTCCAAGCATTTTTAGAGCATTTTGCATTCATATGTTTGTTCAACAAATGTTTTGTGAGCAGTTACGATGTTCCAGATGCTGCTTCTAGATGCTAGAATAACATGGTAAACAAGAACATGGCCATGTGCCTTCACAGAATCCAGCAAAGAAATCCAAAAACACGCAAGATAATAAATCAGTGAGAAGAGGGAGCTTTGATGATATGTGCAAAAAATGGAACAATAAAAGCACTAGGGTAGACAAAAACATGTTATCTAACTTTAAGCGATGCCTAGAAGACATGATATGAAAACTGAGATTCAAGATATACAGGAAAAATGAGATACAGCAATTAGTGATGTATGTGCAGGCAGACAGGCTACGGGGCAAGCACTGATTATGTTTGAAGAAATAAAATGGCAACGAATCAAGGATAAAACGCCAAGGAAAAACCGAGGTATGTGTGCAGGTATCTTACAATTGAATAGTTATCCAGCCCATAATGCATTTTGTCTACCCGCTTCCCTAGTTGGAGAGGCCATGCTCATGGGCAGTGTCACTGAAAATGTAGACAGAGGCACCGAAGTAGCCACAAGGGTGTGGTCAGCACCTGCCGTTAAATGTGACACTTGCTAATTATCCCTGCCTTTTCTTCAGCGGCATCACTTCTGGAAGCCTAGCCACTTTCTATGTCTTGCACTTAATAGCGTTTTAATTAGCCAATATATTGAAGAGAAGTTTTGTGAAATGCTTCTCTTGCTGTCGCCCAGAATATGTAGTACAGTTCTGCATGTCACTGACCCAGGGTCCAGCAACATTAAACCTTCAAATTATCCAAAATTAATACCCTACAAATAAAAATTTACTTGATTTCCTCACTGAATATTAGCATTAGGAATTAGTTTTCTTCTCTGCCACTACTCAACATGTCACAAATGTCTTTATTTTGTTTATCAGCTTGCACGTTAGAGCAGTAGAATGATTTTAGAGACACTAGCAAGTAGCGAACCACAGAGCATGACTGAGAGAAAACAGGCAGAAGGTCAAGCTCCTCCTCAGGGAGCAGACTTTTCACATCACTGAGCTAAAAGCTTAAAAGACATTTAGTCAGGTGCATGGCATGGAAATCAAGAATGCCCTGCACCAGCAAGACATGTTAGACCCTTCTGAATAGTTAGGGCAGCCAAGAGAACGGACTGCTTGATTGCAAGAGAGCCAAGGTGCCAAGACAGGTGATGGAGAGCTGGGAGCAGTTTGTATGTAGGACTGGATCTTGCAGATAAACACAGAAGGACGTGGGGCTTTGGGGCTGAGGTGTACTAGGAATTCCAGCGCTCCAGGAAGATGTTATAGATATGTAAATAAGACCAAAGTTGAGAAAGTGTCTTCTCTTTGAACAAATGTTAACTCTTTAAACAGAGTGTTCAATTAATCTACAGACTGATAAGATAGTTTCATGCTTATCTTTTTTGTGCAGTGCTGGAGATGGAAGCCAGAGTTCAAGGCAAGTGCTCTACCCTTGAGCTAAATCCTCACCACTCCCTAATATTCTCTACAGAGAAGGTTAAGACACTCATTCCTTGCTAAAATTAACATCCTCAAAATTTCTTTCTGCTTCCTCCTGTGTAACCCTATCTAATAGCAACCATCCAACATTCAATTTATCAATGTACACTGCTTTCTGAGTCAAACACATTTAAAATGTGTTTTTATTCTGTTCACCAGTAACACAATAAAATTGTCGCCTATATTTACAAGCTAATTTGCTTTGCACCCAAGGTCATTGAGGTCCCTAACTGTTATGTGTTCACTGGCTTTGGAAGGTTTTCTAAGAACTGTTGACATAAAGCTTCTTTGGATCTATGGAACTTTTTACAAATACTGATTATTTAGATTTAAATGTAAAATACTGAGTCAAACTCTGCTTTATTTTATTTTTCTCCAATTCAAAATTCTTGTGGCAGTGGTGATGGGAGGAAAAGAAATGTGCATATTCAAATATCAGATGCACAACATAGCAAAAGTAAAAACTGCTGTTCTTACAATTGTCATATATGTAAGTTTTCTGTAAAGTTTGAATGCTTCTCAAAAAGATGAAGAATTATTGTGCTTAAAGCCAGTAAAAAGGCAAAAATAAATCATCAACATCACAAGCCTTCCTTGATATACCTTCCAACTTACAGATAGAGCAAATTTTCAAGTCCTTCAAACGCAGTCCTGGAAAACTTCCTGATTTGATTGTTGTTCAGGAGACTAAAACAAACAAATAATTCCAGAATAAGAAACAGATTCTGCAAATATTATGAGAATCCTGCTAAATATAATGCTTTAGACAATCAAAAAAATGTATAGATATGCTCACTAAATTTAGAAATGTATAATTTTTTATTTTACAAGGCTATATTAAAACATCAGTTTGTCACAAAAGATTATTGAAATATAATTTATATTTATTAAATTACCCCCCAAAATCACTTGAAGAGCATTAAAAACCCAAGAGCAAAATTCTTGTTTTCCTGAAACCTGTCATCTAAAAGGAAAATGGTCAGCAGTTATAGTAACAAAGGGATGAATTCCTAAACAAACAGATGGAGAGTTTATAACATTTGGGCATAAGTATCTTCCTTGGAAAAAATAAATATGACAGTATTGGCACACAATGGGTTCTCATTGTGCATTTGTTGAGCTGTCAACTCCGAGTCAATTATGCCATAGGACATGAAGCTTTATTATGTAGCAGAATCAAATGATCCAAAAATGACTTCGATACAGATCCAGGAAGAAAAATAACAGCTGGCAGAAATATATTAGATGCAAACAGTGAAACAAGTTTTGGGAAAATCACCTTTGTAAATTTTGAGAGATTTGGAAAGAAAACTCTGGCAGATGAAAATTAGAAATTGGTCTTCTGGTAAATACATGTGAAATTTCTTTCAAGTTTAAATTATTATGTCATGTCTAAATGCATGGGCAAAGTCTGCTAACTAGCTTGGCACACATGTCCCTGAAAGTTCTGTAGTATCTAAAACTCTCAAACTTTCTAAATAACTACTGCCAGAAGCAAATCCTAAAGGATCCTAATTTTACTATACTATAAAATATTTGCTGTGTGCATTTTCTCTTTTGTTTGATTAGGAATCACTATTTCTGGACAATGAAATAGATTATTTATTCATGATACACACAATACATACACAATTTCACAGAAGGCCTAAAGATCCCCAATCTTATCTGTTCCTAACCTGCCCATCTGTTCCTAACCCCAAATTGCCCCAAACAACATTTGCAGCCACTATATGACACCCCAACAATGTCACCAAAGCCACTTCTCATCATAAATGAGTTAGTTTTTAGTGCCTTGGCCATCAAGAAGGCAGAGTCAGCAATCTACAGCATGCATTAGAGTTGATGCCATGGAGAGATAATGCCAAGTATCACGGATACTTCCTAGCTTTAGTCAACAATCCAATAAGCTTTGTAGTTCACCATGTGTTTCAGAAATTTTTAAGCCAGCTAAAAGATCATGGCTAATCAATGTATAGTTAATAACAGAAGCACATATTGTCCTGAAAGAATCTGCTATTTAGTTACTCTCTGTATATACTCTCATTCTATTGTTTGACACCAATTAATACATTTCTTTTAGGTCCTAAAACTGTCACCATCCAAATACTGTTTCTTGAAGAATTATTCTTCTGTCCTCATATTTCAATACATGTTGAATAGAGTCAATATGTTTTGTGTGTGTGTGTGCATGTGTGTGTGTGCGCATGTGTGTGTGTGCGTGTGTAATGTGTGTGTAAACATACATATGTAATTTTCACATTTTCAGTGCTATGTGTGTGTTAGTATATGTAAATGAATTCCAATCTCATCTAGAACTAGACCTAGGGAAAAATTTGAATGAATATTTTCTTAATTCTCCCATAGATGTTATGTAGGAGACAGAAATTGATTTGTTTTATACGAAAGATCCTTTTGAGCACCTGCTTAATTCTATTTCAAAACCACAGCTGAGAAAGAGAAAAGGTATTACATAACATAATCATTCTTCTGTGTGTAAAATGTGTTTTTGTTCTACATATTCTTTGTTTCTACATGTTCATATATACTTGCCTAAATTATGGCAAAAAATAAAACATATACCCTACAAAAACCCACTGAAGTTGTTGAGATTTTTAACATTATAACATGAACTTATGAACATGAATAACTTAAAGATCAAAAAATTTAACTCACAGGTTTTCTAGGAAATACTTTTATTGCTGACATAAAAATCCACTAAAATGATTCACAGTTGAAAGTATCTTCCAATCAGAGGTATGTATTTCTTGTCAACCCATTATTCAAAGCATTGTTTTCTGTCAAAATATTATTATTATAATCTTAATGGATAGCATCTCTTCCTAGCAATGTTTCAGTTAGGGTTTACAGACACTCTCATTTACATTATCTTTGTTTTATTTTTCATAAGTAATTGTATTTGAAATTTATGAGTGAAATTAATTACATTTGAATGTAAAATACTGGGTGAACTCTGTTTTGTTCAGAAATTCAGGGCAAATAAACAATATTTCATGGCCTTTCACCAAACATCAGAGCAAACTTCAGCAAATCTGTGGTTGTGTTCTGTTTCAGTCCTGCCTACAGTGTCAAGGACAGTGAAAAACACTGCACAGAGAAAAAGTTCTCATGAAGAAAAATGCTACATTTTATTGAGGAAATGAAATAATTTCGGAAAACAGGAAATATGCATATATTGATGATCAAACTGCTGGGGGTGGGGGAAGAAGATTCATGATAGACCAAGGGTCGAGAGTATTAGCTGAACCATCTTACATAAGAAGAGAAGAAGAAGACGAAGAAGGAGGAGGAGGAGGAGGAGGAGGAGGAGGAGGAGGAGGAGAAGGCATCTTGCCTTACCCACAGCACACACACAAACTTCCTCAATATTACACAAATGAAAACTGTGTGGTTGGAAATATTTTGGTAAAAAATACCAGGTGGCTTCTAGAAAAGACAAAAACTTTTTGCACAGTTGTATATTTATCAAAGTGCAAACTCTTAAGACGCAGAATGCTAAAAAGCAAACTAGAAGGATGACTGAACCGAGATGCCGGTGCTCACTTCCTCCTGTCCATGAAGAAGAACTGAAGTCACAGGCATTTTGATGTGAGTGAAGACAGGGTTACACCAGACAGTAAGAGAGTGATGGGACTCTGTAAGTCAGAGGCCTGGGGCAATAGCGTAGTAAAAGAAACAAAACATCCTACCATCTGCCACCAAGGCTCCACAGCCAGGAGAGAGCGAGTTCCCTCTGTATGGGTGAGAGGGAGAGAGTTCCAGGGTGAATTCTGCTAGTCCTAGCTACTGAAGAGTTCCACAATCTTTACAGGCTCAGAATCTAATTAGAAAAGTAATCTGAAACCTGCAGAGTAGCCTGGCTCTACACTAAGATTTCACACCACCTCCCAGCAAACACTCAGGTGGTGGTAGCCAGGAGACCTCATAAGAAGTGAGTTTGTTCTGAAACTGGACTGCTCCAGGAGCTGGAAAGACCAGACCGCATATTTCCACCTCTGGGGCTCCACAGACAACGCGCTGTGCTGACTTGGGGGTAGCTCCCCATGAGCACAAACTTACTGGCACAGAGACTGTGGTGTGAGTCCACATGGTGACCTCCCTGCAAGGGGTGGGTGTTGAAAACCTGAGGAGAACACAGGCTGCTGCCCTGAAAACTGAGAGACCCGAGTGCTTATGATCCTGTGCTGCACACACAACTTTCAGGACTGAGTCTGAGCATCACAGAGGAGACGCCGTAGTTTCCACCCCTTTCGGCCCCACACGAAGTACCCAAGCCTGCAACACTTACTGAAGAAAAGTATGCCAGGCCACTCACCACTACCTGGGATGCCAGTGTTAGAGTGTTTGCTACCTATAGGCAGGACTCAACAGCACTTGGGAAAATCCCATTCATCTAATGAGGGGGCCACCACCTCCGTTTTAGGAGAAGACACATAGTGAGCACCCCACATCCACTGCTCTCTGCACACGTGTCTCCATTGCTGCAGTCCCCACCCAGGGTGTACCATGAGATAGTGGGTCTCTCCAATTCACTAAAATATATTCAACTAAAGATGCTATAGGAAGACAATGGTCCTCAGGTAGAACCAACGCCAACATTACACAGCAAACCAGCACTCCAAGACACTTCTTTGAGAGAAAGCCACTTACTTAAGGAGGCTATTCTACAAGAGCAGCAGAGGTACGTTATCCACAGGATACAAAAATCTCAACACAGGAACACAGGAAATATGAAAATACATGGTAATAAGCTGCATCCAAAGGAACATAATAACTTTAAAAGAAACTGGTATGAATGAAATGCCTCATAAAGAATTGAAAAGAATAATCATAAAATATTAACCAGATCCAAGAGAATAATAAATGGTAATCATAATGATTAATAACAATAAATGGTTAAATAAGTTAGGAAGACAATGCAAGATATGAATGAAAAGTTCATCAAAGAGAAAGGATGGGAAAAAACAAGCAGAAAAGGAAACCTCAGTAATTCCGATAAAAATATAGTTGAACCTCTCAACACACTAGATCAAGTAGAAAGGATGATAGCCAAACACAAGTATTTTGAAATATCACATTCAGACCAAAAAAAAAAAAAAAAAAAAAAAAAAGGTTGAAGAGAGTAATCAAAGATAAAGAGAGTACTCAAGAACTATGGAACAACATTAAACGAACAAATATCACATTTTTGGAAAATTAAAAGAAAAAAAAAATAAAAGCATAGAAAATCTACTAAATGAAATAACAGCAGAAAATTTCCCTAGTCTTGGAAAAGGTACAAATACCCCCACACCAGAGACTTATACCATACAAACAGATGTGACTAGAAAAGATTTTCACCTGAACATATTGTAGTCAACCTGTCAAAAGTACGAAATAAAGAAAAAAATCTAAAATTTGCAAAAGTGTTCCATATACGTTCACTTCGTTGCCCCTTTCTTCACTGATTTGTTGAGTTCTTTGTATTAAAAAAATTTTTAAAGAGAATAAACCAAAACAGAACAAGGCAGATCAGAATAAAACAATGTGACAGAGATTTCAAAGCAAGACAACAGGAGATCAATGGTGGATACCATAATGTTTCTTGTTTTTTTCTAAATAGTTATCTATATCTTCATACACAATGAATTCATACAAAATAAAATAGTATAAAACTGATCAAAACAGAG